ATATTCGAATTTCGTTAATTTGAAAAATTTTACGTAACTACACGTGATGTTTGGTGAGGAAGGGGAGGGGGGGTGTAATATTAAATACCACGACGTATCACTAAGGGAGAGGGGAGGTCCAATAATCTCTAAACACTCGATCACGTGATTAATAGACGCCCCCAATGCTGTAATGACAGTAATCAATGTACCGAAATGACTCAGTTGACAGAGAAAGACTAGTGATCTTGATGATCTTGATTCGGTCTCTGATTTCTGCTGCAACATAAAATTTCGCCATATGACCTGCCGAAAGAACGTAGTAGGGAGAGCGTTTTACTGCAGATCTAAATTTTTAGTTTGATACACGGTTACGGCATTGTTTGATTTTTATAAATCCCAATGGTACTGTTTAGTAAAGCTAAAACACTGTAATAGTAAAGATAGACCTGAAATAGCATATTTGAGATAACATATCACTAACAATCTGCTTGATCCCTGTTTTGGCGAAATTGTTTTTAAATAATTGAAATGGTACTATTTGTTCCATCCAAAACACTGCAATGATAGTCACGGACGTAATCAAAGTGGCTCTACTGGGAGATTGTTAGACTGAAGATCTTAAAGAAGTTCCTGGTTTAATTTTTGGTTCCGCCATTAATCGCTGTCATTTATTGAAAAGGTACTGTGTTGTAGACTGTAGTGATAACCGTAAACCGAAAGTTATCTGTTTTTCGCATAAGTTGTTTTTAATAATTTACATACTACTATATGGCAGGGCAAGAACACAACAATGATTGTCATACACGAGCAAGTGGGTCCGATGGAAGAGCGTTGGACTGAAGACCTGAAGATTCCTGGATTGATCTCTGATTTATAATTGCTAGAGAAAGCGTTAGATTGAAAATCTAATGCGGTTCCCAGTTCGATCCTTTGTTTCGATTATAGTTGCTTCTAAGAATTGGAGTAGTACTGTTTGGTCCAACCGAAACACTATGATGGTAGACTCTGCTCGACTTTTAAGGAAGTCGATTTAAAAATTAACTTGGAAATTTATTACATCAAATCAAATGCTCCGATTGGAATCTCACTCACTCTTTTAAACTCAAAGCAAATGCTTTTATTAATAAAAACATAATTAAAGTTATGATTATGATTTTTTAAATGATTCGTGATGAGAGTTTGATTTTAGTTCCTATTTTTTAAATTATCGTAATGTTGGTCGAGGAGGCGTTTGATGAAATGCTGGTTTATTTCTGTCTGATTAATGTCATAGACTAAATCACTAAACGTTACTGTCCGTAATCAAAACAGGGTAAATATTTTAACCGTTTGAGTGCGAGATTTATTTTTAAAATAAATATATCATGTTAGAAAGTACTGAACATAGTTAATATAGTGATGTTAAAAATTCAATTTCCGAATCTGATCTGATGAAAGCAATTTAAGTTTGAACGATATTAAAGTGTTCTACCGGAAGATGCAAATTATCAGTAATACATCGGAAATGACGCAGTTACCGTTGATAATGACCTCCGAATGAATTTTTTAGTCATATCGCCAAACATTCAATTTTCTAATAAACCTCCTATCTCTTTAAAACGCCTAGACTTGTTTCAAAAAGAATTAGTAGCAAGTAATTCAAGCGTTAAAATACAATCTACAGTGCAATTAGTCGGTTTAAAAAGAATTTGTGTAAGGACATTAAAGCATTTGTTAAAACATAGTAATCAGTGATATTCAGCTATGAACTGACTGAACTATTAATTTTTTCAGTGTATAAGTGTAGAAACTGTTTATCAAAAAATGACTTTCAACTACCTTATCAATATATCAAAGTTAGGAGACGTGATAATTATTTAGGGTTGTCTGGTATTAGAGGTAACGAAGAAGCGGGACACAATAGCAAATTGGGATACGTAACATGGAACAATGATCTATCTAGCCACAGTGAATGACTATATGATTAATTTTAAACAAAAAATACTTGACGAATGACAAGAAGTAAGGAATGGTTTGTCGTAAACGAATGAACGATATTACAAGGTAATCAACTCCAAAGAGAAGAGAAAATCGTCGTTTTGGAAAAATGCAGATGGAGACAGAGGGGAAATCGTATCAATAACGAGATTGTAACTTAACCATGACAACCTCCCCGCACATCTAAAAAGGCTGGTGGGAATAATAGAGTCCGAATCGTGTTATTGTGGAGATTAATTGGATCAACTTAACACACGCTGATTAAACCATTCAAATCGTTATCATTGTTATAGGATTAAAATTATTATCCCTACATAATTAGGTTCATTAAAGAAAGTAAAGATGTAGTATATATATATATATATATATATATATATATATATATATATATATATTAGGGTGTTCCTAAATATGGACATTTTCGAATTTCTTTGCTCCCAAGGGCTTAAATGGTTCCAAATTGATAAAAAACAATTTTCGGAAAGTGTTAGCTCTTAATATTGTTTTTTAGATAGAGAAAATATATATTTTTGAAGACAAAATATAGATTTCTTTGGATATGTTTATTTTTTATGAAAATAAGGCAGTGAACCTTATATATGAAATAAGAATAAATCTTTGTGCATAATATTTTTCTCAAAATATTATTTCCCTTTCGAGAATTAGTTATACATTAGGTAGCAAATATTTTTTAGCTGGTTGTATACCATTGAAAGAGTTCATTTACGAAGAAACATTATCGTATACAGAATATAGAATACAAAATAGCATTATTTTGAGACATTATATACCTGGAAAATCCTAAAACTGGCTGTGCGACGAGAAAAAGACCACTTCTTTTGATCCAAATCATTTTATTAGTAAAAAATCTCAAGCAAGTATCTGCACATGTTAAAAGATTTAGTACCAGTTTAGGGAAGTCGGATATGACAAAACCTCTGAAACAATTCCACTCGAATTCACTCCGAGGGAGGAGTTGTATCAGAGTGATAACTCCGGAGTGGGTTACCCATCTCTAGTTGCTAGAGGTGGCCCACGAATACGGTAACCAATCGAACAGTAGCTGCTGCGTTGGATAATAGAACGCCATATGAACTATGAGCTGGTACAAAACTAGTCAGTCATATTAGGATATCAAGTAGCACTGTCGTGGTGCATATGAAATTGGATAAGAAATTTGTGAAATGTATTCTCACAGGATACTCAACTAATATGAACAAAGAATATAGTCCTAAACTTCATACAAAGACTGCGTTTACAACTAGGGATGCGATAATTACTCAACGAGAAATCATTTTGAAATGTATTTCGAATGCAAATCTGGAATGGTTCAGTGGGGGGGGGGGTTCAAATCAAAACAACAAAGCCAGAAGTTAAAAAGTTTTGAATCTTGAAGTCTTGAAGATAGCCACAATGGTGAAAATTATTATTCCTATGTTAGTTGATGATAAAAATTATGTTTCAAGGAATTATGAACTCTCAGAGTGAAATAAAGTATTTCATACTTCAGCTTGAAAATGCAGATTTTATGGACAAACCTTCACAAATACAGTAACTTTCAGAATGTCCAATTGTTGTGCAAGCGCTGAAACCTATGACGACAGGTTTGATATTGCGAATTACTTTGACTGAAATAAGAAAAAAACTATGGATGTTTCTCAAATTAAGGTCTACCATCGTTATCTCAAAAACAAGTAAAATTTAGCATTTTTTAACAATACTATTTTAAAGTAGAGGTAAAATGATGTGTAATCAGTGATCGCATTTAATTGGGCGACGTCGCAGTCAGGAGATAAACGGCCACGGTAACAAATGTTTTTGAGCACGGTTTACGATACTTGAATACAATTTTTAAGTACAGTGATACCACGCATTACGTACTTAGTTCGTTCTGGGAGAAAGTTTGTTATGCAAAAAGTTTGCTATGCCAAACGCGTTTTTCCATGCAAATACATGAAAATAAAATTAATTCGTTCTGTAGTTTGAAATATGATCATATAAAATAAAATCTATTTTACATATAATTGAGACATTTAAAAAAATATTACTAATTTATGAAATAAGTTATTAACAGAGTGATACTGGTGAAATTTTGCCAACAAGTATTTTTTTCAAAGCGGGGCAAAATTCTCCAAAATCTACTCCTTGAATTTTGTTGTGACAAGATAGATTACAAAAATGCATAGAAGTTCGTGATCCGCCGAGATGCTGCCGAACTCTTTTATAAATTACACTTTGTTTATATTTTCGAAAGACCAGATATATACAGATAATGGTTATATCAGACCGATGAAAAGATGATAAGTAGTTCAATTGTTGTATATTTAAATGAAATAACACGATGTTAAAATTTATAGATTATATGTTATACAGGTGAAAAAATACTTGTTGCTTAGTTGAAATTTGAATTAATACTTGTTACTTAGATGATGTTTGAGTTAATACTGATGTTTGTTAGATGATATTTTAGATATTACTGAATTACAAAGATTTTACAATTTTATATTATTTTTCTGATTGGTTCGTTTTTGTGGGTTCAAGCGACATCCCATTACATTTTTCACCAATCAGATATTAACCGGTGATTCCATGGTACGTGGAATTGAATCTGGAACAGGTGATTAGAGATTCTTAGTAAAATGGATTTGTGGTATGATGATAGATTTAGGGACAGGATGCATAACAATATGAAGGATTATTTTATATTTCTTATAATAAAGGATAAGGGTTTATTATTGATATCCTGTATGAAAGTAATAAAATGTACTTATTATTTCTTTGGACCAGAGTTGAGTAAGGCGTTAACAAATGTTGCAATTTAATTAAAATAGTGGATATTATATTCCTTGGTTATGAGATAAAAAACAGGTGATAAACTTTCGAAAAATAGCATGAAAAACTGTTCTACAATGATGAATAAGCTGAAAATTTTACTGAACATAAATAGTTGTTTATTTAATATGTGTTATTAGTTTTGATGTAGTTGGTTTTGATTGCCACAGTATAATTGCTAATTCAGTAATACATCTATCTCTTTATAGAGTCCCTTTCATTGGTCGATGAAATTTCAAACGGAACCTTATCACGACTACGAAGACAAGAACCCTGTCCGCTCAATAGGTGGCCTTGCGGGGGAGGCAGCAATCAATGTATAGACAACTACGAGGTTTGTGACGGAAGAATTAATTGCAGAAATCGGGCTGATGAAACGGCAGCAGTTTGCAGCAACATACGGTAAATAATAAATAAAATCTTTTTGATTTTTTAATTTCCCGTAGGGTAGGTTATACTAATCGCAAAAAAATTGAAAATGAATTTTTTTATATATCTTTACGTTTCAAAGAATATTTTGGTATACTTCAGAAAAAATGGATGTATGTGTATGTGTGTGTGTGTGTGTGTGTGTGTGTGTGTGTGTGTGTGTGTGTGTGTGTGTGTGTGTGTGTGCTGATACAACTTATCGTCGACGATTTTGCGAATAAGGTTCAACCAATTTGAATGATTTAAATAAAACACATTCAAATAAATCCGTCTGAGAATATTTATTTCTTACGATTGGAATTTGAAATTATTATTTGAAATATTTACATTTTTAAACTGGCTTGTAAATTTGAAATTCATATTTAAAATATGAAACTGTGTTTGTAAAAACGTTGAAAAAAAAATTCTGAAAATTTTGAAATTTGCTTGAACCGTATAAGCAAACTTTAAAAATTGACGATCTTGGTTTGGAACCCAACAAAATTATAACAAAATTAGTACTCATTTTTTAAATTTTTATCAAGTATCAGATAATTTGACGTACATAAGTCTCATGATCATTTCGTTAATACAAGTAACATGTTTTGGAATCATTCCAATCGGGTACTCCGTTCTCTCAAAAATTGAATTACCGTTTTTGTCCTTTTTGTTCCGTATCTTCCAAACGGATGGACCTGTCTCTACCAAAAACTAATCAGCACGTCTTCTCATCAATAGGAATCGAATGTTTTTTGAATCATTCAAATCGGTTGATATGTGCGCCCGAAATCGTGGACGAAATATTGAATCCAAACATGCACACATACATCCATTTTTTTCTAAGGTATGTCAAAATGTTCAGAAACCTTCCAAACGTGAAGATATGCAAAAATTTTCATTTTCGATTTTTTTGCGATTACTATAACTTACCCTATGGAAAGTTAAAAATTTAAGTAAAAAACTTCTTCTTTTTTCACTACAGTACCTACATTCTATGCTCTGGGGTATTGTATGAGGTATCTAACTTTGATTGGATAATTTGATAATAATTATTATTTTTAAAATATTGAAACAAAATTTAAATATTAGCGAGAAGTTATCGACATTTCTGAGAATTCATTGTTGAATATTTCCTAACATAATTATACATGTTTATTTAATAAATATGACGAAAGATATTTTTTATAACACTTCAAATGTGACTTTTTGACATAAAACGAGATTAAATATTTGAGTGATAAACATAGTTTTTACGATTTTGTATTTATAGCATTTTTATCAATATTGTGTAATGGAATTGTGGTTGAAATATAAGCAAACTTATTCAAATTTAATTTTTAGTTACAAACATACTTCATTCCTGCACATTCTTAAAATTTTAGTATAAATAAATATTGTTAAGAATTCGTTATTAATTATCTTACGATTATTGAATTATTTACTTTAAGTGAGTACAGGACGTGCAGATTAGATAATTTTTCCATAGCTTAAGTAAATACTCATCCTTTTTATAATTTTATATCATCAAATGATGCTTACTATGAAACCATGTACCGTTTCAAGTAATTATAACAGTCCAAATGATAACTATCCGGTTCAAAAGACCAATGTTAAGGCGATGATTACACCTTGATGCTGCCGTTGCCGTTATCACTTTGTAGACAATTAATTACTTTTAAACATTTGTGTGCACTGTAATTATTAGAAGAATGAAAAAACGACAAAAGACATAAAATTATAAATATTTTTACTTTTTGCTTTTTATATGCAAACTTTAATGGAAAACAAGCACATTGTTTCAAATCAATTTTGTTGCAACAAATTTTCATACACCTTGTGATCATTTTCAGTTTTCTTAAGAAATAACTTGTACATATGATTGTCTATTAAAGTACAAATTATTGGTTTCAGCCAGCCAATACTGCCAAAAAATAGTAAATGCTGGTTTCTCAGATATCAAATGAATAATGGAAGCTGTATTAACTGCATACTTTAATACCTTAGGTTCGAGAAGTATAGTTGATATTAATGCAGGGCTGCAAACGCACAGTTAGTTTGTTCCGATGTTATTACTAGGAAATATATTAGATATAATTTGCTTCTTCTACGTAAGTTTGTAAAAAATTGTTTCTGTTATTTCAGTTGTCCAAGTTATGCCCATCGATGCGCTTATGGTGCATGTGTGAGGAACGATGTGCGCTGCAATGGGGTGCAGGACTGTGCAGATGGTTCGGACGAAACTTTACCCGAATGCAATAATGCCAATGTTCCGGGTGTGGTCAACACTCCTTCATCAGGATGCAAGTGAGCTAATTATTAGGCTTGAAATAAATATTTGGTTACTAGTTGGTATTCGGCATTTTTTTGATTTTTGGCCGAATACCGAATAGCAATATGCTTTTCGGCCGAATAACAAATTGTTGAAATATTGTTTGGATTTTATGCGATAAAGAGCTTACGATGTGACTTTAGGATTAGATAACTTTTGATTGGAGATAAATTCTTGATCGCATACATAATAAATTAAATGTTAACGACTTTTGAGATTATAAATGAACACTTCAAAAACGTCCTTCTGAATACTCACCAAACAGTATGTTACAATGAATATGTCTCAAATGTTATATGTTAATAATTTTCAAAAAAATCAATCAGTGATTATGCTCAATTATTTGCATATATACAGTTAAGAATTTATCTCTTTTGTGATGAATTAGTAATCATAAATATATCAAATAATAATAATCCATGAAATTTGACAAACAGGAAAATATAGATTTTTGGTTTTGATCAAGAATGCAAAAAAAGTATTTATTGATCCCAAAAAATGCAGAAAAATTAGTTTTCAAAGTTAGAATAATAGCATTAGTTAAAAATTTGAAATGCAGAATGCAAAATTAAATTTTTAATCCTCGTGTTCTAAATTTCTTATTTTTTTAATTGCTAAATTTTCTAATGTATAAAAAAATTATATAACAATGATTACTTAAATATTCATAAGATTATTTAATTATTCAGTATTCGGCCGAATAGTATAAATAGTGGCAAATTTTCCAAATGACAAAGAGTAACCGAATAGTCGTTGGAAGCCCAGGCATAAAACTTGAATCGACATGTAGTATAATAAATTGGAATAGTGATTTGATCAAAACGAACGAGTGTAAGCGCTGAAAAACTGCCGAATAGTTGCCGAATATTCGGTAATCGTTGGTATTTTGCCGAATATACTATTTGTTGCAAGCCTACTAATTATATTGTAATTGCATGTAGTTGACTTTTATCTTAAGAATTATTTGATGTTGCTTGTTAGTTTCTGAAATTTTGTAAAATTTTTATTAACATGTGTTTGTTTCCAGACGCAGTGAGTTTAGATGTAAAAACGGTCAATGCATTTCTCGAACCATGACATGCGATGGCAGTCCCGATTGTACAGATGCTTCCGATGAAACTAGTGAAGAATGTTCTTCAGCCCAGTGTTATCCTTACGTCTACCGATGTGATTACGGTGCTTGTGTATCAATGGAATCTAAATGCAATGGCGTAAGTTTATTATTATAAAATACATTTATGGACCGATTCTGCCGTACAACAGATCAATGTTATGGAAAGGCCATGTTACGTAGAACTATGTTTTCATCCTAATGGACCGATTCTGCTGTACAACAGACCAATGTAATGGGAGGCTATGTTATGTAGAATTTTTCATACTAAATCGTTCTAAATATTGTCAAAACCCATGTGCTGTGCAGTCATGCGTTTTTCTCGGGGTTGTCGGATGGAAAACCTTACCTAGAAACCGCACAAATGGCAAAAAACAATGTATTATAGTTTCAAAACAAACAAGTGACCTTGCAGTTTATGTGTAAAACGCCTAAATGCACAGCAAATACATGACATTTTGGCTTTTGTATAATACAGTGCAAGCGTAACATTGCCTTGCCATAACATTGACTGTTGAGCGGCAGAATTGATCCATTAATAGAACGTATACCTTTAAACAATTTCACAACATTTAAATAGGTCTATTTGATAGTCAGTAACATTTGCAATAAAATACATCTCAGAACCATCGTTTCCATCGAACCTTTTTCAAGGGCATAGCTACCGCCGTATCAATGATACTTTCATTCTTCTAATCAAATTAATTATGAAAACTCTGTACCAACTAAATTTAATTTACAAAAAATGAATGTGAGAAATGTAAAAATATTGTTTTTGAGAGTTGTAATTTTTCAGGGTTATGAGGGCCAAAAACGTGTTTAGGCAAAAATTAATGCAACTTTCTGAGTGAGGAGTGTAAAAATATTATGATTTTTGCATGCCATGGGGCTCAGCGTGCTTCATCAAAAATTATTAATACCTTTCCAAACTGTGTTTTATTTCACAAGTGACAATAGTCAAATCAAATGTACCATAAAAGGAAGGGAGGGTAACAACTGTTTTTTAAAACCAAAGGCGAAATATAACAAAGCGTTTTTTTTTCATTTTCATTTATGTCATAATTAATCTAAATTATATTTCGATTGTTACTTTAATAATTTTTATATCAAATTTTCGAATCGATACGTCCTTAATTAAAGTTTTTACGGGATGCTGAATTGCTGAACACTCCGATCGGAGTAGTCGGTAGTCAACCCGTTAAGGAACTCGTTATTGCTGGTAGCATTTAATATTTTTACACACAGTTTTATTTGCATGTTTTTATACTTGCCCATTCCAGTTGAATGAAGTTTCAAATATAAAACACATTTTTATTTAAAACAATATACTTAAAAACGATGGAACAGAAATGGCTGCGCAACCAGTCACTGTTGTGCATTAAGGCAAAAACTTAAGAAATACTAGTACAACTTAAGAAAGTAAGCATCAGCTATAAATAATAATGAATCAATCAGTTTGCCAAAAAGGCAAGGAGTGTGTTTATTGTATTTAAATCTTTTGTTCAAATTCTGAAAAAAGTGACAGATAAATATTGATTATGAATCGATATTTCTCTCAATTTTATGTATTTTTTTATTTCGAGAGAAACTTTTACCCTTTGTAAGGGCTCGAAAACGAACTTTTTAACGGGTCCCCTCCACTATATGCTACGTTTATGCTTTTTTATATTGCCTGGTCAATGCAACGCTTTTTTGTCTTTTTTTAAATTAATGAGATTGTCTACTTCAAGGAAAAATGGCTTCAAAATGAATTAAAATAACCTAATATTATTTTGTGGAAAGAATTACTACAAGAAATCGCAGGAAATTATGTTGTATTTTTGAATCGTATTTTTGTATTTTATTAGCTCTAATATACGTATACAGTAAAATTAATAACACTTTATAAGATCAGAGAATGTTACGATGGGTCAGATGAAGATCCGCGAATTTGTGGAGGTTCACGTCCAGTTTACCAAACGACGTCAACTACTACTGCTCGGCCTACATCTTCTGGGTGAGTTTAATACATTAAGATATTTATATAAAAAAAATACCCAAACTGCGATTATTTTAAAAGTATATTATTTTTAGTGGAGATAACGGAGGATGCACTGTTCCAGACACGGCAAACGTTATTACTACGAATGCTAAAACCGATCAAGTAATTTCAAGAAATCAAAAAGTTTCATTATATACTGTTGCTAAATTTCGTTGTCGCGGAGAACTGGTCAATGGTGGTGCAAGTATGGCAACATGCTATGAAAATGGTTGGGATTCATTGCCGGAGTGCACAAGTAAGATAAACTTCACAAAAATAGTATAAACCACAAATATTGGTCTATCAACGAACAATAGAGATATGATAACGCCACAGAAAAACAACTGATGCAAAACCTAAATGCCATGCCTACATGTATATCAATTCTATTATTTTGACTGTGTATACACATTATTTTTTTTTACCTTTTTGCAGAGTCCTGCAATCTGCATGATAGGTCTGAAACGTATGAATTGGAATGCTATTTAAATGAGCGGAAAATCAACTGCACCAATAATGTAGTGCCAGCTGGTACAATCGTAAAGACGAAATGTATAGATGGATATAAAGTTAATGCACCATACACTGAAAAGACCTGCTTGAGTAATGGACACTTTGACATAGCAAACTTTTATCCTTGTGTTCCAAGTGAGTCTATATTGCGCTATTATTTGGTAAAGATAGCGATTGCCAAAAGAATAAAACATAAGTCTCTCTAATCACAACTAGTCGCAAATAGGGATATTTAAATAGATATTTTTTATTCGGGAAGTATTATTGAAATTGTAGTCTCGTCTTATAAAATGTTAGCGAATTTAATTTTGAACTATAGTATATGTTAATATATTTTTAGTCTGCGGTTTACCAATTCCAAAAGGAGTACCATATATTGTTAATGGATTTGTTTCCAAAACTGGTGAATTTCCGTGGCATGCAGCTATTTACTGGAAGGAAAATAAATTAGAACAAAAACAAATATGTGGTGGATCTATTATCAATGCAGTTACGATATTATCTGGTAAATATAAAAATTCATGTATACAAATAATTATTCCGCATTAAATGAAGTATTCGCAGACGCTCATTGTCTGATACGGTCATTGTATTTGTAGATTTAGACGTGTAATCATATTTTATTTCCTTTTAAGCGGCTCACTGTTTCTACATTACTGAAGATGGAAGAGAGACACAACTTTCAAAAGAAAATTATGCCGTAGGTGTTGGCAAAATCAATCGATTCTATAACGCCAATGAACGGCAAGCACAATTTAGTGAAATCGCTCAATTAATTGTACACTCAAGGTATTATCATTAATTGGCAAAAACTTTTGCCTCAGCAGATGTTGCTTATTTTCTGAGTGACCACTTAAATAGCATCAGTAGTTTTTTAGTCGATAGAGCCAGTAATAGTTTTGAATATGAAGATAAATTGTAATTTTAGCTTAAATTAGTTACAAGTTAATATTGTGACAAATATTGGTTTAAAAGATTCCTTCTATGGGGGCGATGCTTCTATGTAGTATATATTTAACATCGCTTTCCTAATTTGGAGGGATCACCTTAGTACCTTTATTCGACTCCCAGAAACGGGTATTGGTAGCGAATTATAATTACGATTGAAAGCCTAAATTGCTTGTTATTGAAATTTATTCAATAATTATAATTTATTCACAAGTATTGATAGGCATGTCAGTTTTCTTGGACCCTATGAATTTGTGGTACGTGGATTGAGGGTAGGGGTGATGTAATCAGGGATTTATAACTTTTTTTAGGCAACAATATCCATTGTAGTCACAATATACTTTACTTATTGACTCGTTCATTTGTTATCCGACACCATAATCTTACAGTATTTTTCTTAGAGATGTTTTAAAGTAGATTTGAATAGCGAGTGGACTTGTTTGAACGTCAATCCTTTTGCATGAAATGAATATTACACGGATCTATATCGGAACAGATGGTAGCTATGACCCTGAGTCTTAATCTTTTCAAATAAAAAATACTTCATGTTTTTGCGGTCAAAATCAGACACCTATGGAATCACTGCACTGCAGAAAATTTTTCGGTTTATAATAATATAAGATGATTATTTATTTTTTCAGTTATCAAGGCGTGCTTCAGAATTATGCTCATGACATAGCTATTTTAAAACTTGAAACACCCATCAGGTTTAGTATGTACGTTGCTCCTGTCTGCATGGATTGGGATGTATCCGCTTATGAAGTTGCCGACGGTGATATGGGAAAGGTGAGAAAATTATTAACTTCCCGTAGGGTAAGTTATTGTAATGGGCCGAAAATCGGAATTGAAAATTTTTACATTTCTCGACGTTTTGAAGGTTTCTGAACATTTTGGCATACCTCAGAAAAAATGGATGTGTGTGTGTGTGTTTTTTTTTTTTTTTTTTTGTATAGCGAAGGAAATGCCTTTACGCATCCCAGACCGGTCTTCTGTCTCGAAAATGGCTCTGAGAATTTTATTTTGGGATCTTTGTATTATTTTTATATTTGAAGAACTTGCACAATTCAATACCATATTTCAAGTTGTAGATAATGATCACTTTATATTCATTCTCTTAATAAAATTTCTCTCATCTATGCTATCAGGTTGCTGGTTGGGGCTTGACTGAGGAGCACGGTGAACCAAGCGAATGGTTGCAATGGATAACATTGCCAAAAGTGTCAAAGGAAGATTGCTTGAGGGAATCACCACACGACTTCCAACCTTTTATTGTCGATGACAAATTTTGCGCAGGATATTTAAATGGTAATCTCGTAGATTTCCATTCCAATGTCTGTCATATTGACTCATGTTTTTTTTACAATTTTGATTTTGCCAACAATGTTATAAATTAAAATTGATATAAACTATTTTAAAAAATGCAGTTAACTATTATTGGGTTGTTCGGGAAGTAACTTCGTTTTTTATAGACATTTTGGCACGTAATTTTCGTACAATATTCAATTACTTTAATAAATTATGTATTGGCAATTTTGATCGATCATCTTTTGTCTTGTTTCTGATATTAGCATAATTTCCAGAGCATAAATTTCTTGGTCATTATTTTCAAAAAACTGATCAAAGTGCTTTTTGACATGCTGATTTCAGGTAAAGGTTTTACCGCCTAAAAATTTTTTTAGTGGCCGGAACAAATAATGGTCCGATGAGAGCAGGTCTGGAGAATATGATGAATGTGTCATGGGGTCCCATTCAAGCTTCAAAAGCTTTAGGCAATTGACCAAACTTATGTGAGGTCTTACGTCGTCTTGATGCAGGACTATACCTTGCTTGTGGGTTAATTCTGACCTTTTCTATTGAAGTTTATCATTTAGTTTATTCAGTTGATGACATAAAGCATCCAAATTAACCATTTCGTTTTTCTGGAAAAGTTGAAAAATAAACTATCTTACCAAACATACTGCATCACCTTTTTCTGGCAAATTTCAGCTTTGCACCTGTTTTGAGCAGTTTTTTTTTGTTTCATGGGCAATTGCTTGTACATTCTTTTTGACATTCCTAGTTAAAATTTGCTTCGAAACCTCATAATTTTCAGGACTTTTCAGAGGCGAATCGCGGACGCCAGTGCGACGACACACGTTTCTTTCTATGAGAACCATAAATTGAGTTTCGAGAAAAATTCCAAACCCTTTGAGTGGTCATGAACTATTAAATTTGATAAATTTTAACTCAATGGGATTTCATATATTGTTATTCGCTGGTTTGCATCAACTAATGCTTTTTTCACATCTTTATCAGCTTCAACCGTACTTCTTGGACTTGGTGCATCTAGGACATCAAAATACCAGGAACGAAATTCAGCAAACAAATTTTGGCACTGTTGTACTATCAACATGTCATTTCTGTACACATCGGTCAATTTCATTTTAACTTAAACTGAATTTTTACCGTTTTTATAGCAAAAGAGTTTAGGTTCAAGAGAATATAGTTAAATTCTGGTGGTAAAAAAACGAAGTGACTTTCCGAACAACCTTATACTAAGAGATATCTAAATCAAAAAGAATAACCAGTATTTGAAACATTCATTCAAATTTGGATATGTGAATAGATATAATACTTCAAGTGAGCTGTTATTACAGGTTCAAGTGTTTGTCGAGGCGATAGTGGAGGCGGACTTAGTTTCCAGGTTCAGGATAAAGGAAAACTTTACTACTTTTTAAAAGGAATTGTTTCTGTAGGACCAAACTCTAATGGTACTTGTAATTCTCACAAGTATACTGCATTTACTAGTATTAAGAAAAATATACCTTGGCTCAAGTCGCAGAAAGCGAACCTAGGATTACAATGATTTTAGTTTTTTTGTATTTGAATTATCTTAGTTGTATCGCAATTTTTATTGTTATTTAATACATTTTTTATTTACTTCTAATTGAGTTTCCATACTTTGACATACAGGTTTTCAAGTCCTGCAAAGTGATGTTGAAAAATGTTCTATTCTAGGCTAATAGAATCAAGGTTATGTTATAATAATATAATTCTTCCCTCAAATAATTATTTAATATTTATTCATTAATAAATAAACGTTTTATGTTGTATAAGCATAATCTTTAAATCAATATAAGTATTATTTCAAGTAATATTATACAATATCTTTTCAATATAATTTAAAAGAAATAATTTTGAAAAAGAATTTTTACTCGTTTTCCGGACGTTTCTGCATTTTTTTTGTCCAAATGAGGCATTTATCTGAAAGAACCTTTATTAGTAATAACCATTTTTACTCTAGCGAGTTCGCATCAGAGTAAAAAAAATGAAATAAAACCTTGATATCCTAGGTTTGTCAATCAATTAATCAGTTCAATTCGCAGATCAATTAAAGAGAGTGTATATTGAATTAGAATCGTTTTTTGAAAAAAGTGGATTTTGTGAAATATTTTTCTATTTTGAGAAATTATCTTTTGTAAGGGCTCCCAAACAAATTTTTCTGCGGGTCCCCGCCAATGCCGCTACACTTATGCTTTTTTATGATTATAACTCCGCACGAAATGCTTTTTTAAAATTAATAAGATTGTCTACTTTAAGAAATAACGCTTCCAAATAAATTAAAATAATTCATAATAATTTTGGCAGAAAGAATTAATACAAGAAATCGTATGCAATTATGTTGTATTTTGTATCGTATTACATCATTGTATTATATTAGCTCTAATATACGCATACAGTAAAATTAATAACCCTTTATAAGATCAGAGAATGTTACGATAGGTCAGATCAAGACCAGTTTACCAAACGACGTCAACTACTACTTCTCGATCTACTTCTTCCGGGTGAGTTTAATACAATAAGATATTTTACATAAAATAATTAATCAAATTGCGAGTATTTTAAAAGTATATTATTTTCAGTGGAGATTACACAGAATCCACTGTTTCATTAACGACAAACGTTATTACTACGAATGTCTTAAGGCACGATGCCACACACCACTAGTTTAATTCTTTTTTATAGTTAAAAAACCACTTGTCGCAGGTCTCTGATATTTTAGTACCTTCATTAAGACCAAAAACTATCACCATACAAGGTATTATAAATGGTCAATTTTTTTATGCGATCAATTACAAAGAAAGTACCGGATTAACATTTAACTACTCAGCAAGATTCTTGAATGATAGCTTTCGAGTAGTTAATGAATTTTATGAATCGGTTCAGAATTTTTTTCGAAAACGATTTCGCAGTTTCTGCAAAGAAACGGCTTGGCATATCGTCTCGAAAAACTTACCAACGCGAGTACTTATTAAGGTTTATTGAATAGTTTTAATTTTTTTTTAAATCGGTTCGACCGTGTTGAGAATATAACCATTACATAATTGCGATTTCGCAAACGCGATGCTTTGTATAATTAAATTTAATAGTTGTATTAGGTTAACATTCACATTATTTATTTTGTAGGCTGTTTAAAATATACCAGGAAATGGCAAATTATACGATTGTCAAAGTTTATATAAAATATAAAATTTCATATTAGATTTATCAAAGCACACATCGAATTAAACAAAATTTTGAAATATCTAGTAGCTAAGCTCAATTTTAAAAACAAATTAGTATTCATTATCAAAATTTTTTGTGTATTGAAATGGTTGAAATTTTTGTGCAAATCTGCAAACTCGGCAAGCCACAATTTTATAAATTTTATTAAGTCTTCTACTTCAGACGACGGATTCCAAATAAAACTGCTTTCATATTGACACAAAATGCCGCGTTCTCGCAAAAGATCGCGATCCCGCAGTCGTTGGCATAACAATCATGCGAATTCTCAGAGAAATTCTTCTGATGAGCGTCATGCTATAATAGTGAGGTCTTCTTCTAGAAGGAGAAGACACCTTAGAAGTAACCCCAGGAATAAATACATGCATACACGTAGAAGAAACGAGAGTGGAGCTCATCATCGCAGTTGCAGGCGCAGTTCAGGAGAAAAGAGCTGTCGAAGACACAACAGGCATAGAGATGATTCCAGACGCCGTCGAACAAGTAAGCCTGAAAGTTATCAAAAAGGTTTGATTGCAGATCATAAGAAGGGCCATCTCATGTATAAACCTGGTGATATAATTGGAGATAGATATGAAATTATTAGTGCACTTGGCAAAGGAGCCTATAGTAGGGTGGTGAAAGTTAAAGATTTACAGAATCAAACAGCAGTCGCTTTAAAGATTATTAAAAACCGGAAGATATATGAAGAAGCAGCAATGATGGAAATCAAAGTGTTAGAAAAAATTTCTAAATTTGATCCACATAGCTTATTCTTATGTGTGCGAATGCATAATTGGATAAATTATTATGGCCACATGTGCATTGCTTTTGAAATGTTTGGGGTAACTATTTATGATTTTTTAAAGGAAAATGATTTTCAACCATATGGGCTTGACCAGATCCGGCATATAGCTTATCAGCTTTGTGTTGCTGTGCAATTCCTTCATCAAATTGAATTGACTCACACGGATTTAAAACCGGAAAATATACTATTTGTTAATTCAGAATACGACATTGTTGTTGATGAAAAATACAGTTTAAAACCTTATAGGCGAGTAAGAAGCAGTGAGATCAGGCTGATAGACTTTGGATGCGCTAAATTCAATCATGAAAATCACTCATCAATAGTTTCCACTAGGTATTATCGTGCACCTGAAGTGATGTTAGAATTAGGTTGGTCCCAGCCATGTGATGTATGGTCTATAGGATGTATTCTTTTTGAATTGTACCATGGCATGCCTTTGTTTTTAACACATAACAATTGTGAGCACTTTGCTCTTATGAAGCAAATACTTGGAGAACTGCCTTCAAAGATGACCAGGAAATCAAAGATCTCTTTAGGGCGTTGTGTTCGTAAGAATTGTAAACCCCTACATAAATATATGTATTCTGACACTGAAGATGACCATCTTTTGTTTGAACTAATTGACCTTATGCTGAATTATGATCCTTCTACAAGAATGACACTAGATGAGTCCCTGAAACATAAATTCTTCTCCAAGCTTCCTCAATACCTGAGGGTCGATAACACCCAATTAGAGTTTTAGCAAGACAAATTGTATCATAGCCTTTCCAGATAGAAATTCCAAGAGAAATTTATTGTACAATATCGGCGGCCACAGCACCTATCAAATTCCATCTCAAAAATAATTTTATTATTAATAAAATTAATGATAATTAATGCTATCTGTTGATTATTACTATACAATAATACTATTAATACTATAAATAAATGACGCAAATTTAATTTTTCTCTTTGTCAGTTTTTTCCGAAGATAATAAATACTAAACATGACGAATGTGTTTAATTCGTTGATTTATATTTTTACTCTTGAAAAATATAAATATTAGTAGATGATATGTGAATACCCTTACAGAATTGTTCGATTTTAGTTGACACGTTAACTTAAAAAAGTTGTGTACAAAATTTACTTTTATATTAAATTTAATTGATGTACTATAACTATTCATTACAGAAGTATTATTTATGTGAAATGTTTGTCATATGTTTTGCTGCATAATAACTAAATTATTTTGTGTTTTTTATTTATATTTTGATTTTTATAATATTTTTTTTTATCTTTTATAGGTGAATAGTATATTCGGAGTAAAATAATATAGAATTTGGTAAATTGGTATGTATATTTTTTTTTGGGGACTACTTTCAACAGTTACCAATGTATATTTTTCATTTAGTTACTATTTAAAAATAAGTGATATAATGGCACGTTATCTACTACAAATTGGTTGAATAAAAATCTTGTAGAAATGTACACTTTATACTGTCTAAGCTTTAACATTGACTAGTTGACTAACATTGATCGTATCTTACGGCAAATTGTTGGAACTTTCCGTACCGTACTTAAATAATCGAGGAATGAAAATAATCAATAATTAATGAAAATTATTCAATCGTTTTAAATATTTTTAAATAGATTATTTATCATAGGCACTGTGTTAGTATTTATTCAATTTGATTATATATTTTTTTGAAAATTATGAAAAATTTCGAAAGGAAGAAAAGAAATCGATTTTTTAAGAAAAATTTATCTTTTTTTAAATTTTTCAAAATTTTGATTTTTTTTAAATATCGATTTTTTTTTGTTTGAAAATGTTTTTCGAATTATTCTAATCGGATGTTCTGTTTTCTCAAAAACTTCATGACCATTTTTATTTTGGCAAAAGTCAATCCAACCGTTTTGGACTTAAGGAGCAAAGAGTGCAGAAAATAGAAATCGAGTTTTTGAGAGAACAGACCATCCGATTTGAATGATTCAAAAAACATATAGGGACCGATCCTGCCGCATAACAGAAAAAAATTATGACAAAGTCATTTTATGAAGAACTTTCCATACTAATATTGACAAAAGCCATGCGGTTGGTGTTCAGTCAGGCGAATTTTTCGGGTTTTCTGATACAAAACATAACCTAAAAGCACAAATGTCAAAAAAAACGATGTTAGATAACAGTGTGTTTCTGATACCAATACATAACATACGAGTGACGTTCCAGTTTATGTGTAAAACGCCTGAATGAACAGCAAATACATGACATTTCGACAGTATTCAGTATGATTCATTAGCATAATGTATGGAAGTCGGAGCGTAACATGGCTTTTCCGTAACATTTTTCTGTTATGCGGCAGAATCGGTCTCTTAATTTGTAATAACGGGTAGAAGTGGTAATTAGTTTTGGCAAAGGTAGATCCAGCCGTTTCGCAAAATATGCAAAAAATTTTGAGATAAATAAGCAGCCGATTTGAATGATTCTAAAACAAAATAGGATAGAAACAGTGGGTATAAACACCAAAATAATGTATAA